GAATATCAGGGAGTTCCCATAGATTCACATTTATATAACAACAAATCTTTGAATTTTTTGAGTCATATCATATCCCAGATTTAATGTATTTCTCTATTTATGAGTAGTTTTCATATTCATCATAACTTTTTTCTATGTTCTTTGTCGGAAAAAGATATAACCTATAACAAACAATTTATCTTATATCACCTGTTATAATATATAACTTATATTAATGTTATAACATTAAACTTACATTACCTCTCAGCTACTTTTAGATAGCTAACGATACTATATTCAACAAAAAGAGCTTCACTTGAAAGTACTTAGTTATGCTGAAAAATCCTATTCAAAAAGCTTTTTGTGTATTCATTATAAAAGAATAAATGCTGGGGCCGATTGTTCCAATAAGAACCAATAAAGCCGATGCCTGGAAGCTACCTGGAGAACATTCAGCAAAGAGGTGATAACCAAAACTAAAAAAACACCTCAAAAACCAATCATTAAAAGTGTACCACAAAGTGAACGTCTTAGTCTAGAGATATTTAATTCCCACATAAGGAACCTAACTAGTCAAATTAATTGTGACGAAGAAACCTACCTATTGAAATTTGAAACAAAACAACATTTAAATGATAAAACTATTTCAGAAGCCTTTAGAACTATTTGTCAATAGACTAACCACTGCTTTCAACAAAACTAAAAACTTCTGTAAGGAATTCAAGTTAACAATCAATACAGCAAATTATTTTCTTAACAAAATGTCTGAAGAATTTAAACTAAACCTAGATTAAACTAAACTATAAACCTAAAAACTAAGTTAAATCATTAGAGGCTTAAACTATTAAATCAACCAGCAACGGATCCAGCGTTTTTTAATGCTTGAGCTAACTTCCAGACATGTAGCAAAATCCAAACATTTGTATACATATGAATACATATTTGTATACATATGAAAAATAATGCTTTGCAAAAAACTGCAATGATTGGAGACTGGGAACAAAAAAGCCTTTAAACTTTACACCACCCAACCCCCTATCCTAATTAACTCCTTTAACTTAAATCCCCCTCAATTTAAGAGGGTTACAAAGAAGTATGTCCTACTTTGATATCTTTTGGCCGATAACCACGCCATGCCGATCGTGTTTAGATTTTTACACCAACGAACCGTTAGTGTCTAAAGGATTATCTATCAAAAAATCTAAGCCTGATCAGCTTGGCGTCATAGTTATCTTGTAATTATACAGGGTCGTCCCGAAGGACGAGGAGCGTAGGAGGTTGTCTAGCCCCCCTAGGAATTTCATCATTTAGCAAAGTGGACACTAGAGTTAGCAAAATTGGATTTATAGTTAGCAGTCGGCAAATGTTGGAAAACGCAGACCATTTTTTTTTTTTTTTTCAGGTAATTAAGTGGGCAAAATAATTTTTTTTATCTTTTGTCGGAAAAAAACAGACACAGCACCTCGTCTTTTAAAATCTCTTCGGGACGGCCCTGTTTAAATATATATATATATATATATATATATATATATATATATATATATATATATATATATATATATATATATATATATATATATATATATATATATATATATATATATATATATATATATATATATATATATATATAATATATATATATATATATATATATATATATATATATATATATATATATATATATATATATATATATATATATATATATATATATATATATATAGCATTTATATATATATATAGCATTTATATATATATATATATATATATATAGGAGAGAGCATTTAACAAGATAGTCACGCCTCCTTCCGTACCAATGTCGCTTGTTGGCGTTGAACCTGGGACCTATGGGTTTTAACTCTATCCACTGCGCCACGGCTGCTCTGGAAGTGAGCTATCTCAAACATAAAAAAAAACTGCTTCCGCTCCGACACTTTAATTGCAGCTTTTAACGCTTACAAACTATATTTCAAAAATTTCCTTTTTCATCACTAAGACGTATTTTTGACTTGCTGCTGGAGTATCGATCTCTCTAAGGCATTCGATACTGTTGATCACGGAATTGATTTTAAAGGTAAAGCATTACGAAATTAAAGGCCTAACATATAAGTGGGTTAAATACCCTGTAGTACCAATTGAAGTGCGAAGTTTGTTTAAACTTGTCATGTTAACAGGCATGTGCTTTTTATATAGTTCCCGCATTTATTTTTAAATGACCTTTAAATGACTCGTTGTTCAATGGGGAACAATTGTCATTCCAACAAGACAGTCCCCCTTGGCACAAAGCGAAGACAACACAGAGGTGATTGACAGCCAATGTGCCCGATTTTATCTCCACGGATGCCTGTCCGTCAGTATCACCAGATCTTAATCCATTGGATTATGCAATCTGGTCTAAACTGGAGGCGAAGGTGTGCTGCAAACCTCACACTTCCGTTGATGCTCTTAAGCGATCACTTCTCAGAGAATGGGATGCTTTATCTATAGATACCGTGCGTAAATCAATCGAGGAATGGCGTCCAAGACTGAAGGCGTGCATACGGGAAAAAGGGGGTTATTTTGAGGACTCACTTTATTAATGTGTACTTTAGCATTTTAACTAAAACATAACATGCATATAATATGTATATATTACATTTGTTCTTGCATTAAAAACATGTTCTCTTAAATTTTTTTACTGAATTAAAGTTTCGCACTCCAATTGGTACCACTAGGTATTATCTTTTTAATAGAAAACTGTTTGTTGTCCTGGAGGAGTTAGGAGCTCTCATTATTGTTTACGGAGTATATATTAGTTTATATTAAAAATTGCGGAGTATATATTAGTATATATTAAAAATAATAAAGGTTTCAAGATTGATCTCACAGGGATCAATCTTGGGACTTTTATTATTTTTGACTTTTGACTTATGACTTTTGACAAAGTGATGTAATAATAAAATTTAAAAACATTAAATGGAACGAAATTTATGTGAATTTTGAAATACTTACAGATACTACCAAGAACATGGGTTATTTCTCTTCATTACTTTTAAAGCATTAATTTATAGAAATAATGTAAGGTCTCTAGAGCTATATATGCTTAAGTTTTTTTTTCTGTTATTTCCAGACCACGGTAAACTGCTTTGTAAAATTTGTAAATTGACTTTTTGAACTTGGTGTAATGTTTTTTCATTTGTATAAAAATGATAATTATGAAAAATTGAATAATGGTTTAAAGAAACACAAGAAAGCACGAGCAGTTTTTAGGAAACATTAAAATAGAGACAATACAGCAATACAAACACAATGAAGTAACAATTGTGCCAAAATAGCGGTTAAAATCATAAAAGAAGTAAAGTTTAGAACCACCTCATAATGTGTTGTACCTCATGTTTGTTGTGTGATAAATTTCAGAAATATCATTTGATGCAATTAATAAGCTTTCTCGGTCAAATGGTTTAGATATCTTGATTTTCAAACAGTTCTAAATTAACTGCAAAACCAAATATTAATTGTTTTACGACACTGCAATATAATAAAGTTGCAGTGCTCTATAAAAATTTTTCAATATTAATAACTAGTAATGACTAGAGTAATTCCTCATTTGAAATCTCTCAAGAAATTATTTAAATGTCAATTAGCAACTTAAAGCAGAGAATAGAGCTATTTCTAATGAATTATTCAAAGTTGAGCCTTAAAATACGCGTTTTGAGTTCAAATAGCTAAACCTAAAATATTTTTTTTCATCTTAAATCAATTCTTAAAATCAAAATAAATTCTTAAAATCAAAATCAATTCTTAAAATCAAAATAAGTTCTTAAAATCAAAATCAATTCTTAAAATCAAAACCAATTCTTAAAATCAAAATCAATTCTTATAATCAAAATTAATTCTTAAAATCAAAATCAAATCTTAAAATCAAAATCAATTCTTAAAAAAAAAAAATCTGAAAAAGATATTTTGATTTAACTTCTTGTTATTATTATCTCTTGTTTTTATACTCTTATTTTTCGTTGTTATTGCAATTATTATCATTACTTTTTTGATTGTTTATTATTTCCTATTTTTATTGTTACAACCTGCTAATTTTTATTTTTTCAGACTTGAGTAGGAGTGACACCAATCTAATGAACCATCAACTTATTGTTATAAATCTTTTTCTTATTATTTATTATTCTTATTATTTACATCTTTTTTATTGATTGTTTTTATGGTAACTTTACTACTATGACTATGTATTAACTTTTTAATCCTATATTTTTATAGGTAAAATATTTTACTTTTCTTATAGTAATGACTATTCGTCACATTAAAATTATAGGGTTCTATCTGCCTTTTATTATGTTGAAGGAACTTAACTTTCAATATTTATTTAATGCATGTTTTACAGCTGTTATTCTTTATAATATAAATTATAAGTTGTTTATTAACCACTTAAAAAATGATATATAATATATCATTTTTTAAGTGGTTTGTTTTTATTATTTATTGTTATTTAAAACTTTGATTGTTAAATTCTTTCAACATAAAACAAGGCAGATAGAACCCTATAATTCTCATACGACGTATTGTTGTTATTATTATTATAATTATTATTAATATCTTAATTATTATTTTTACAATGTAAAAATGATTTATGGAAATTAAATAGCTTTTGTTGTTGGTATTGTTGCAACTAAACCAAAACAGTAGATTTAATAAAGTTATTATTAATAATATTAAAAACCTTTTTTAATATTACATCCTTACCTTAATAAAAACATTTTTTTTAAATCCTATGAAAATGTTTTAGTGAGTTAACCAAATATGGTTTTATATATTTTAGTGAGTTTTACTTAAAACTGTGTTTTGATAATTATTTTAAAAAATCATATATATTTAGTTAAAACAATTTGTTAATGTAAGTTAGTTAGTTTAAATTTTTTATATTAATAATAAAGCTTTTATTATTAGACTTTTTGGATTAATTTTTTAATGGATGTCAGTACATTTATTTTTCTAATTAACATTAAATCAAATGTAAACAAATTTTATACCAAAAAATGGCTTTATTCGAGGCAGCAGATTTTGAAACAGCAAATGTTTTTCTATAATATCGTCTAAATCACATACATAAAATGGATCATCATAACATTCTCTGCTTTTAAGATCACAGCTTTTACTTTGAAGATAGCTTCTCATATTGAAAGCATCATTGCAAACATCAATCAATGAGTCATTGCTAAATAGTCTTCCCAACTTTAATGATACAGTCTTCATCCTGAAAGCGTTAACAAAAAAATAAGCAAATATTTGCAAAAATAAAAACATTTTTAAAATAGCTTTAAATTAATATTTAATAAAATACTATAAAATAATATATTTAATAAGCCAGTTTTAATAAAATACTAAACCAGTCTTTGGTAGACAAAAGATTCTTGGAAACACAGTAAACAAACTACAAGTATGATTGAAATAAGTTTAGGAGAAGGTTGTTTTAATGTTTTTTAATTTAAAGTTTAACTATGAGTTCACATTTGTGTGGTTTAAATTGGCATTGCGATTTTTTTTTCTAAGTATGAAATTTTGGAAGAAATCAACTACTCCGACTTTTATCTCATATAAGTTTGGGGATTTATATTGAGGTTTACCTGTCCTATGTAAGTTATTTTTACTCGGCATAATGAACTTAATTAACCTAATAAACTTAATTAATATAATAAACTTAATAAACCTTATAAAACCTAATTAACCTAAAAAAAACCTATTGATTAGGAAAAATTTTATGTCATGAATATAATGACAAGACTTTGGGTGAAAAGTTATTTTTTAACATGTTGTTTAATGTTTAACTTTGATTACAATATACGGTATACTATGTATGCGTGGTTTAAAGAAACTGATTATTAGAAAAATGATAACATTTTTGTTGACTCATTGTTTTTCTGTTCCTTTTGCATTGAGGAAAAAACTCATTAGACTTCAGAACTGGTCTAGCAAGTTTAAATGTATATCTAATAAATTTTTGTTGACATTTTTGATAAATAAAAAAAGGCACTAAATAATAAAGAAAGTTTTGAAAAAAACAAAAAAAATGTTATTGTTTTTTAATGGTCAAGTTTGACGTAAGTGCGTTTAAACTTTTAAATTGTTTTGGATAAATTCTTTTTCTGGTTTAATATGTTTAAAACCATTTGATTTAAGATATGATGTGACCAGGTTATATTCAAAAACATCTTTTTTAAACACCTTATTATTAAACGCCGATGAATTTTTCTCATGATCCTTTAGGTTTTCTTGTTTTTCCAAAAATATTCTATTAGTAGCGTCCACATCATGTAATATTTTTTATCTGAAGATCTTTTGTAAAATCAAATATTGAGGACCTTATCTTTTGAGTGTGTGTCTGTAGTTCCCAAAAAACACATACAACCCCCCTTCTATCCCCATAAGATACTTCTTCGGGACGGCCCTGACAACGACCACGCTGAATAAGAGAGGCAAAAAGCAGCAGCATAGCTACAAATACGCCCAGTTCCCTTACGGTAAACTTTTATCAGGCCCATTAACCTATTTCCTCGGGACTGTGCAAATGCTGTCCAGATAAAGTAAAATCAAAATAAAGGCTTAGACACCAACGCAACAAAAAAGAGTTTATTAGGGTGCCCACAACCTATAATAGAAAATTGAACAGCTTTCCTTTCCATCTTTTTTCAAATAAATTATATATGATAAAACACAATAAAAGATTATATCTGATAAACACTCCTATAATTATATCAGAGAGTTTAAATGACTAATAACTTTTTAAAAACTGTTTTAAAAGTCGATGCCCTTGTGGATGCCAAAAATTTTATATAATTGTGTCATTTTACCATAACAAAATACTTGATTAAAATGGCAAATACAAAGAAAAAAAACTGGAGAAAACCGCGCTCTAACAAATAATGACTTAATCAAGGTTTACACATTCATGAATTACCCATAGCTTAAAAATTACGCCCCCTTCCCTCCCCCTCCATCCTCCCGTCAAAATTTAATTTTGACCACTAACCTCGTCTCTACACTACTGGTATACCCGCATGTTGACTATATTTGTCAACTAATTATAATAGAACTACCCTATATGATATACGTGGAAAAAAAAACCAATCGCAATGCCCCACCACAAACACTGCTCACATACTTCAGAGTATTACTTGAAGTATTACCCAGAAGTACCCTCAAACAAGCAATTGATCTGAATGCGCTACCTATTTCAATATTTATGTTAAATCAACATGAAATGACTGTTCTTTGAGAAATTAAATAATATAACTTACATTTTACTTACTTACATATAATAAGTAAATAAAAAAATATTTCATTGTTATAGGAACTAAATTAGCAAATAAAATTCCTATTACGGAAAAAAATTTTAGTGATTTCCTAGAGCCTATAAATAATTCACTTTTTATAGATAGTTTATATTCTGACTAATCTTTTGATGAGTTTGAGAGAGCTTACAAATCTCTCAAAAGAAATAAAGGTACTTGGTGCGGACGAAATAAATGGCAATATAGTCATAGATTGCATTTAAAACTTAAAATATATTCTTTATAAAGTCTTCAGGGCATCAATACAGCAAAGTGTATTTCCCGGCCAATGAAAACTTGCTAAAGTTACTCCTATATACAAAAACAGAAAAAAGTCAAATATTAGTAATTATCGCCCTATCTCAGTTCCTTCAACTTTCTCAAAAATCTTAGAAAGAATTATGTACAATAGAACATACAATTACCTTAATCTAAATAAACTTCTATATAAAAATCAATTCAGTTATAAAAGAAATTGTTCAACTGAACAAGCTATTACACAGTTCATTCGTTAAATCTCCAATTCATTTGGTAGATCACAATATACATTAGGTATTTTCATTGACCTATCAAAAGCATTCGACACGGTCTATCACAAAATTTTACTTAAAAAATTAAATTTTACGGAATTAATGCCAAATTAATAAAATGGGATAAAAGTTACTTGAAAAATAGAAAAAAATTGTTTCCTGTAGAAATTATTTTCAAAATGAAAAATTAATTGACATTAAATGTGGTGTTCCAAAGGGTTCTATTCTAGGCCCACTTTTGTTTTTAGTCTATATAAATGATTTAAACAAAGCTTCTAACCTTATGAGTATCATTTTTGCGGACATTTATGAGCTTTTTTCAAATATGAATAAAGAATTCAGTCACATCTCAAACTGGTTTAAGTGCAACAAGTTAACTTTAAACATTGACAAAACAAAATGGATCCTTTTCCACTCTCTTGCAAAAAAGCATTTTTTACCAAATAACTTACCTCAACTTTTTATTGATAAAATTGAAATAAAAAAGTCACAAAATTATGAAAATATTACATGGAAGTATCATATCGACTTTATTTCTCCAAAATTGGCTAAAAGTATTGGAATTCTATATAAGGTCAGATGCTAAGTAAACAAAATTTAATTCAACTCTACTACTCATTTATTCATAGCTATATAAATTATGCAAATATTGTTTGGGAAAGTACCTTTAAAAGTAAGTTACGAAATCTTTACCATCGTCAGAAACACGCAATGCGTTTAAGATGTTTTGAAAATCGTTTTTCTCATTCAAATATTTTGTTTAAAAACGTTAAAGCACTTAACGTTTATGAACTCAATGTCTATAATAATGTTTCGTTGTAAAAGTGAACAACCATTGTTCAATTTCAAAGATCTTTTTACCCATAAAGCTATAAACAAATATACTTTATGAAATACTTATTTATTAATTGAACCCTTTTGTCAAACAAAGTTTTATCAATTTTGTATAACCCAGAGCGACGATTCTTGCAAATCTTACAAAGATCTGTAAGATCTTTCTTATCTTACATAAATTAGTAAGAACTTATTCGTATCTTAATAAGATTTGTCAAGATTTGTTTTGCTAAGATCTTGCTAAGATCTTAATAAGAAATAAATGCGAGAAAAAAAATACAAATCTTATTAAGATCTTGCTAAGATCTTATTATGCTAAATTCAAATTAAATTTTCATTTTTTTTTTCTGTCGTCCGTTGTTTTTTTGCGCCAATTTTTTAAGTGTTTTCGGAGGGTAAGCAAAAGATACTATGACTCAAAATGAGGTTTTGATTTTTTCTTGAAAACGAAGATCAGTTATATTACTGATTTGGGGAGAAATGTAGGAGAGAGCTGCTACATCGATTGATCTATACCTGCCTTAACCCAAAACCTCAGTCGATGTAGTAGCATTCCCTTGCATGTTATCTCTAAATTAGTCAATGTCGAAGCACTCTCCCACATTTTTCCCCAAATCAGTAATATGTCTGGTCTTTGTTTTTTGAACAATCAAAACATCATTTTGAGTCATAGTACCTTTCGCTCACCTTGTCGGAGATGAATTGAGAGAATTTTTTTTACTTGTGATACTTTTTAGATATTTGCAAAGACAAATAATATATCTACTCTAAGATTATATCTATCTTTTCAAAAAAGAAAATACTGCATTTTAACGGGTAAACTATGTATCTTAATCAATAATCAATATTTTTCTATTTTTCAAGTTATAACTAATTTTCTTTTTATTTATAATATATATATATATATATATATATATATATATATATATATATATATATATATATATATATATATATATATATATATATATATATATATATATATATATATATATATATATATATATATATATATATATATATAATTTATTCTTGAAAATATATTATAAAAATATTATTATTATATATAATATAAATATATTATTATATAATTATATTTGTAATACAAATATATTATAAAAATAATATAAATTGTATCATTTCAAATAAATTTAATTTTCATTTTAAAATAATTTGGATGTTGTTTAGACTAATCTTCCATAAATAATATGCATATATATATATATATATATATATATATATATATATATATATATATATATATATATATATATATATATATATATATATATATATATATATATATATATATATATATATATATATATATACATATATATATAATATATACATAAGATAAGAAGGACTACTTTATATTTTGCACAAATCTAATCAATTTTTGATGATTTGAGGAGTAAGAAAGCTGTAAATTTTTTTTTAAAATACTCAAATATTTCCTAATACAATATAAAGATTGTTTAACATAATGCAATTTTCGGTTATATTTAATATGTTTTCAGAATATGACAAACATGATGAACACAGAAAACTTGTTAATGGTT